GACTTAAGTTGAAATACAGTGTGGTGGCTTATTCTGTAATGAAACCTGACAATAGGTTCTTTTCTAAAATCCAGGATATTACCTAGTGTAAAGCACGAGACAGTGCCAAGGTTTCTCTTTTGATGAGCTCAGTCCTGATGTGACTTGATGAGCTGGGGTAGGTGGGTAGTGGGGGTACTCCCCTTATCTGAGAAGTAGGAAAGGAGGGTTGGGGCAAGAAAGGAGAGAGAATGGGACCAGATGTAAAGTGAATAAATTAATTAATTAATTTAAAAACAGGTTAGGGCATAATTAATAAAGAAATCTGCATAGCAGTATCTTTAATGTATGTAGACACAAAAATTCTCTTAAAATACTTGCAATTTTCATTCAAAAAAAAGGGGGGGTTCCTATATTTTGTATTCTTGCTGAGGCCATTTCAGATTTGACTAGAATTTGATTTCCTTGATGAGGAATCCCATGGAAAATTACCCAACTCTATTCCAGGAACCCAGGGCCAGGATATCCCTAGCTAACTCACCTGAGGTTTCGCTAAATGGCCTTTTATGCAAACCTATCACTCCAGCTAACTGCTTTTTTTAGCTTCTGTTAAAGCTGCTTGCTTCAAACTGCTTGTTTTTGCAAAGGTCCCTGCAGCTGTCAAGAGGGATACCAGAATGTGGTTTCTGTCTTTAATAATTCTGTGTTCTGGACACTCAGGGTCACACCTAGGTCCCCCAAACACTTAGATGTGGCATTAGCTGGATAGCATAAAGACTTCCAATTGGCTATAAACTGTGTCTGAGTGTTCATCTCTGATGGACACTAGTTTTCTGTGATTTAGGACATGACAACATTTCATCATTTAGCATTCAGCATTTAATAATAACTGCACATCCATAACTAAGTAAAAGATTCCCTTAAGAACACTGGTACTAGCCCGGCATGGTGTCTGTCACATGCCTTCAGTGCCAGTATTCAGGGAGTCAGAGGCCAGCCTGGTCTCTGGACTCAGAGGGAGTCCAGGACAGCCAAGGCTATACAGAGAAACCTTGTCTCAAGAAAAGAAAAGAAAAGAAAAGAAAAGAAAAGAAAAAACAGGTGCGGTGAAGAGGTAAATGGGAAAAGGGGTCACTTTAACTGGGAAGTAGGGAAAGTGGTTAATATAAAAGTGGAAGGGAGGAAGGGGAAATAAATAACACTAAGGATATTTGAAAAAGCCATTGAGGAACATATAAGCATACTGTAAAACACAATGTGTGTCGTGTGTGTGTGTGTGTGTGTGTGTGTGTGTGTGTGTGTGTGTGTGTACAAAGTCTAAAGGAAGCTGCACAACTTGAAGTGATGATAATACAGACCACAGACTGTAAAAAACAGCATCAGACATGAGAAACCTTCTTCCAAGTCATTGGTTATGGGAGAGTCCAAGAGACTTCTGGAACAAGATAGTGTACTGCCACTGCCCTTGATTGCCTCCCAGAAAGTGAAGACACCATGCTTTTCAGACATGGGGCTTGGAGGATTCAAGCCTGAACTCACTTGAAAACTTTCTCCCTGATGACTACAGCTCCATATCAGAAGGTGCTAGGAAAGCTTCCAAGAGAGAAAAGTAATCAGTAGTCATTCCCAGCTGTATAGCCTGTGAACCTTAATGGCCAGCCTGACAAGGTAGCCCCAACAGTAAAATAATGGCACATATTTTAGGGATAGCCAACAGCTGTCTAATTGGATTTAAGGTTCACTCAATAGGAGTGAATTCATGCCTGATAGTTTAAACTGAGCCAACTCTAGAGAGGAGAAATACTACTGTCTTTTGTGTAAACCAATAAAATATATAAGTTGTATTCTTTTTTTGTTTGGGTTTTTGCTTTCCCGAGACAGGGTTTTTCTGGGTAGCTCTGGCTGTCCTGAACTTACTTTGTATACCAAGTTGGCTGCGAACTCACAGAGACCTGCCTGCCTCTGCCTCCCCAAGTGCTGGGATTACAGGTGTGCGCCACTGAGCCTGGCCTCCAAGTTGTATTCAAATAATACTTATCGTTACACCAGCAGCTACATTTAGCTCTTTTTCATCAAAGAAGATTCTTTTGCAACAGGTAGAGTCTATTAGAGACCTACAACTGGTGAAAATGCAGAGAATAAATAAATGGCCACAAGGTGCTAGCCTAGACTGATAAATCTGTAACACATCCCCTACACCTAAGACTCAAGAAACACTGAGGGGGCAAGGGGCATTGCAGGAGCCACAGGACCAGGTTGACTTGCTGTTCGACAGATGTCTTCTAGGCATGATGACGAAGCTATACCCATAAATTTCCAACAGTATCGTTGCCTAAAAAAGACCTGCATAAAAGGCAACAACACTTGACCTACCAGTGTGGATGGGGGAAATTTCACAGGTTTCAGCACTAGATAAAGAGCTACAGGCAATCAGTGACTGCTCAGCGGGAGAAGTGGTTCTCTCCAAGGAAAAGCTTCCTTATAAGTTATCCAGTCCCGAGTATCAGCCCTAAACATATGCCATATATAAATAGACCCAGCTGTTTTTGTGTATGTGTGCCTGTGTATGTGTGTATTCATGTTACATATTGTGTATGTGTATATATGTAATATTAATTGAAGTGCATGAATTTCAGGAGAAGTGGTTGTTGGCCATGGTAGGAGTTAGAGGAAGAAGAGGCATGAAAATGATATAAATACAATATTATAAAATTCTCAAACAATAGAAAATTTAAATTTAAAAGTTCTATGTATAAGTATGAATAGTTGCTAAGTCTTTTTTTTTTTTAATATTGTGGCTTGTACTTCATCAGTGTGATTGCTAAACTCTCCACCCTCAATCCTTGTTTTACTCTTACATTAAATCCATAATTTTGATGAAATTTAATCATTGTTTCTCACTTGCCAAACTGGCCTTGGCAGACAGGTACATAGAATACAAAATAAATGGTCTTTCACACAAAAGAACTTAAACTGGTTGGGAGGAAACTGAATTTAGATGAAGAGTTGAGAAAACCAAACAAGGAAGTTGCCCTTGTGAGGTATTTGAAGAGAGAGATGAGCTGGTAACTAGACAGATCTCAGGGCAGTAAGGGTGCCCTGTGGTAACTGTCCTCCGTAGACCTGCACCCCACAGAGCCTCCCCGTTCCCCTCAGCAGCTGTTTCTTCAGGGAGATCAACACGAGAAGATAATAAATGATCCAGTATATGTTCTACTTGATCATCAGAATTACAAATGATACCTTTAGTAGATGTTACAAATAGCCTGGAATTTCAGTGTGGTTTGTGTTTGTTGTTGTTGCGTTTCTATTTTCAGCCTGAGAAACTGCCTATGTTTTGTTGATTGAAATGGGCATTTATAAGTAAAAGGAACAATACAGATACATACAGATATATGTCTTATTGATAGTAGGAAGTTTTGTATGTGACTCAGTAGGCATGAGAGTGCTGTGACAGCCCTGCCGACATTCAGAGCCTCACCGCTCAGGCAAACTGTTCACTTTCTTATCTTAATCTTCACAACCTCCTCATTGAGTCACACAGAAAACGCCAGGTGGGTGTTTTTAAAATTCTGATCATAATTACAAATGCCTGAGTTTTAAATACATCTTAACCTTCACACTCAGTGTGATGCATTCATTTTCCTTAGTAAGAATGTGTTAGATGCCCACTCCATGTCAAGGGGTCAAAAGCGGGCCACCACTGACTGCATGTATGTATGTACTAGAGCACGAACTACAAGGAATGCTATAGAGATATGGAAAGGTGAATTTCCAGCAAGTTGTCTGATGAGGGGAATTATCCTCATGAGAAAGACCCAGAGACATGTCTGAAGAAGTGATAACTAAGACAAAGAAGGAAGTGTCTCCCCACCCTAGGGGTGACATGCAGCAATGCCTTGAAGGAAGAACTGAGAAAGCCAAAGTGTGGAGAGAACAGGAAATAGCAGCTCAGATGTTTATAGGTGATAACGGGCTTTCTGGGAGCAACTGGGAAGCCATTGAGGAGCTGAAGTGAAGGAGAGTAAAGGAGCGAATATACTTCCCTGTCAGTAAGACCTCTGGCTTCGTTCTGGAGGAGTGGTACAGAACAATGGCACACTTACAAGAGTACCTTGGGTTATTGTATTTTCACCATTGTTTGAGAAGTACATTGCACACATTTTTATTAAAAGATACTAAAAATATTTTTCTAAGGAAATAATTTAAATAAGATTATTTTAAAAGAATACCAAAATATGTATTATTTCCTTTTAGGTAAGCAATTTAAATAAAATCATTCACTACAACTAAACAAACATTGAATTGTGCACTTTCTAGGGCATTTTTCTAAAGATTATCAGTTACACAGATGGCAAATACAGTCCTTGCTCTTGGGTAATCTAGGGAATATGATCCGGCACAAACAGTTCACAGAGCAGTGGGAATGGAGTGGATGGTCTTTAAAGTACCTTGTATAATTCAAGAATAACAAGTAGGATGCTCTAGGCAGAAGAAGGGGCATGCCAGTATAAGGATGGAGGTCGGAAAGGGTAGACAAGCTCAGGAAAATATTAGAGACTAGACCCACTGGAATGAGAAGCTGGGGTGTTTTGGAAAGCCTTAAAATGCTAAAAGCACATTCTAAACTACATGTGCTGGGCAGTGGGGCAACCCTGAAGGTTTTCAGCAGAAAGTAAACAAACCGGAGTTACTCAAGGATGGCAGATGAAACGTTTCCCGTCACCTTCTGTTCTTGGCATACAGCTAATTACCTCTTTGAGCCTTCTATGAAGGTATGGGAGCCGTTTGACTGAGTTTGGAAAATGGAACGTAAGGCGTACCAGCTATTTACCAACTGCTAAAACCTTCCTCATAATCCTTTGCTCTCTTCCCTTATCAGAAACATCCTATAGATTATACACCTGACACACTATTTTCATTTTGAATAGGTGTTGACTCAAATCCTATGACATCTGAACATCTGTCACATGGTGTTTGATACTTCATCCGTTAATGGACTGCCTTTCTTTAACAAACAGACCAGTTCATCAACAGAGGAGCAGGCAGCATCCGGAACAGTAAAAGTCAAGATGTTTGCCACATTGCCTTCGGCTCCAGGGTTCTTGGACCTCCTCCACTCTCTGGCAGACGGAATAACCTAAGACTTTCCAGTGAGGTGGGCAGAAGATTTAAAGAGCTGACCTGAGCAAGGGCACAGGGTGCTAAGTGGGCTGTGGGAAGGAAGGAAAGAGAAGCTGATTGTGTGCAAAATAGGCTTCCAAATTTTCAACAGGAATTTTGGGTTTTAAAAGACTTCAGTAATTTTTTTTGTCATATCAACATACTTAATTTTTTTAGAGTGGTCTTTTTATTAAACATGTTGCTTAACATATTTCGCCTTCTTTGTTAAAAGAAATGTTGGATGTAGACCAGGAACCCTACAATGTGCACATTCTCAAATGGTCTGCTTTTTATCTTTAACTTCCTTCAAATCTTTGACATGTAGAATGATTTGTACTCAGCTCTACCTGTTGCAGGCGGGAGTAGCCCACAGTGTATTTTAATTTGTGTCTAGGAGATCCGTTTGCCTGCTAGTCCATCTTGTGTTATTTGTCTCCTTCCATTTCTAGTTTTCACTAAGCTCCCTTCCCATCACCTTTTAGCTGAAGCCCCTCTAGGTTTTTTCTCACTTACTTGTCCAAGTTTTTGCCTTATAGACTTTATAGAAAATAAATGTAATGCCTGTATCTTTAAACATACATGGTAATTCCTTTTCCTTATAGACAGTAAGATCCACTGGGTCCAAAAATAGCCAGTTGTGCCAGCAGCCTACAGTGGAGAAGCGTGTTAACAGTGCAGAAGTGTCAGCCTTGCTGACACCTGAGTCTGAGCAGCAAGGAGACAAAGGAAATAGTCGCCAAACGAAGCAGACCACACCTATTCCTGGTAAGAAAGAGTCGTATGGAAAGTAAAAGCCAGTGGAAAATAGTGAGAGTTGTTCTTACTGAGATGAATCGAGCAGTACTCAAGAGCCAGAGACTCATACTCCAATCAAGGACTATTCGTGGAGATAACCTAGAACCTCTGCACAGATGTAGCCCATGGCAGTTCAGTGTCCAAGTGGGTTACATAGTAATGGGAAGAGGGACTGCCTCTGACATAATCTGATTGGCCTGCTCTTTGATCACCTCCCCCTGAGGGGGAAGCAGCCTTACCAGGCCACAGTAGAGGACAATGCAGCCACTTTTGATGAGAACTGATAGACTAAGATCAGAAAGGAGAGGAGAACCTCCCCTATCAGTGGACTTGGGGAGTGGCATGCATGCAGAAAGGGGAGGGAGGGTGGGATCGGGAGGGGAGGAGGGAGGGGCTTATGGGGGGATACAAAATGAATAAAGTGTAATTTAAAAAAAAAAAGAATCCTAAAAAAAAAAAAAAAGAAAATGACCATTCAATAATGAACAGGGTAGTGGGAATTGAAATATATTCGGAAAGCTTATATATGCATTATTTTGTATTCTCTGTCCGTTTGTTTATTCTGTTATTTTAAATAGCTATAATGTCCCAGTTTTTCTTTCTGATAATAATGTCAAAGTAAAAAAGAATCTCATTATCAATTTATTTTGGAAACTTTGCGTTTAAGTTTTACTATGATTTCAGTATCTATTTGCAGAGTACTCTTTATTTTCTCTCATTGGTGAAAAAAAAAATAGCTCTGTAAGAAGACTGGTCTCATTTCAGATTGAAAGCTCAAATCTAGCAGAGAAGTAAAGGGATTTGCAGCTCTTGTTTATTAGAAAAATTGAAACCCAAACACAAGACTTAGAATTATTTTATAATTTTCTGCCCTTCTTGTTCGGACTTCAGTAAATGAGGAAAAGGGGACATTTAAATTAATTTTACTTGAGTTAGAAATTAATGATGGCTATTACAGACAATTTTGCCCATAGGGATAACAAATGGCATGAGAAAATGAGTAACATGGACATAAAGTCCTGGTTCTACCAACGACCACCTCTGAAGCCTGGTTCAAACTTCTTCGCCACTGGAACCTTAGTTCCCTCTTCTTAAAAACAAGTCAGACATTCTGCCAGGCTCTGGCTGTGGTGTTGAATTATAGGTGCCTGGAATCGTCATTGTGAGACCAGTGACCAAAACCAGTCCCCTTTATGATATTGCTTCAAAAAGGGAAGCATTTAGTAAACATTAGCTGCTGTGATTATTACTTAAATACCAAATTATACTCCAGAATTCTGCTCCCGGCTTGATCTCAGCTCACCTTCTTTGGAAAATTTCTTACTCCACTACACTTCCTCTTTACAGAAAAAGGAATTTTTCTGTTGATTTCACCTTCTGATACTTTTTAATATAGCATGCTGTATGAGTAACGTCAATCACACTTCTTGTAGCCCTCTATAAATGTTATAAATCTTATTTCTTGGATGAAATTTATCACTCTTATAGAAATTCTCCTGCCGAAATAGGCATGGACACCTATTTTCTGTAAAGGACTAAGTTGTGTCTTTTACATAGCCTCAAATTATGTCACAATGATGCGTGAATATTGTAGTGATAAATATATTTACTGTATTATTTCAATCAATATAATGCTTTCTGTTCTGGCTTTCGTTCTTTGATATGGAAATTTACCAGCCAGTCTACCTGTTATGTATCCACATCCCCCTACAGAACCATCAGCAGAGAAGAGTAACAACAGAAGAAGATTTAGGTTGCAGAGCAGCAGCAGAGAAAGGACAGAGGCACAAGGTGGTAAGGCACTCTTTCAATACTACCTCAGATCTGTGTTATTCAGGGCAGCAGGATCTCTCTGCAGGCTGTAAATTTCAAAGGATTATGAGCCAATTCATTTAAAATATAAATGTCTGTTCTGTGGGGATTATGGAAATCAAATTTTTTGCGAAAGTATTGCTTCAGAGTCTACTCTAACAGAGAGGAGCTGGAATCAACAGACAGGAGCACAGAAATGCAGGACCCCTCCCTTCACTTTCAGGCAGGGCCAAAGAAAGCTTAAATTGCTGCTGCTGCTGCTGTTCTCTAAAAGGACTCAAATGTGACAGAGGAAATTCCTGCCTGAAGTCTACCCAAATTGAACTTTATTATCATTTTTCAGATTTAATATATGTCCTTTCTTTTAAAGCAGGCTCTTTCAGAACTCTTGTTACACTGCTGTGTTTCCCTTTGGATTCTTTGTATATTATATAATGCACTTTAAAAATAAACACTCTACACTTAAGCACTGGATAAATGTAAGCGGCTGCTAACATTATCCCTTTAAAGATGGGATTTGAGGCATGTTTATGTAGATTTGTAGATGTATATATTTGTCTATCTTGAGTACAGCCCAAGGATGTCATGAATAGATCTTAGTACTATTTTCCAAAATTTTAAGATTCAATCTTCCAAGCTTTAAGCTATTTTTATTAAGGGCAGGTAGAAAAACTAATTCTGCAGTAATGCTCATATCCAACTTCTTAGGGCGATGAAGGAAAAAGTTTGTTTTAAAAGAATTATAATCTAGTTATTCTGTGGAATCGAAGAAAAAATATAAGATCCCTTTTGGAATTCTTTTTATTACATACTGTAAAATTTAAACCAAAAATGTCCCTGTGCAAATATCAAAGTATTTTAAGGTAAGGCTCTACAAAAATACAACAGAGTTTGTCGTAAACCATTCAACTATTTTTAAAAAAAATGCACATGAACTATAAGGATACCACTCATTTGTTTTTAAATAACTAAATGAAAAATATACAAAATTAATAGCACCCTTCAAAAGCAACTTTTAATAAATATCAGTAGAATAATAAATATTTCTTTCAATAAAGGTAGTTCCTTGGGAAATAACAGAAATGAAGATGGAGAAGATACCACCTTCAACAGTATCACACAGCCTTTGAGGACAGAGCCAGTGAGCTCTGGCACTCCAGAACCCCAGGCTCCTGATCAAGCAGGTTGGCATCCTTAGTATTCACAAAATATAATCATGCCAAATATTACTGGAAAATTTTGTGAGTTCTACTACCATTGTCACATGTTACCAGGAAAATGAGAGTCCTGTCTTAAGGTTCATAGTTTCATTAATAAGGAGACTTGATAGGCTAGGGTCAGATGGGAGGGGAAGAGGACTTCCCCTTTCAGTGGACTAGGGGAAGAGGATTGGGCAGAAGAGGGAGGGAGGGTGGGGCAGGGAGGAGTTGAGAGAGGGGCTACAATGGGGATATAAAGCGCGAATAAATTGTAAAAGAAAAAAAAAATTTGGAATGGGCTTAAATGAAAACTTAGGAACAATTTTATGAGAGTTTAAAGGAAAACCCCCAAGGCAGTCAAACTGTAAATCTTACACCATTTCTGTGGAAGACAGTTTTTAAAAAGATAAGGAAAAAAGCCGTGATGCTTGACTTAAGCCACCATGAAGGTCAGCCAGGTAGGAGACAAGCAGCTTCATAGTGTTAGGGAGCGGGCATTCTTCAGTGCAAAAGTACATTATTTCATTGAATGGTTAATTATTCCACCTCTGTCTTTATCATGGCTTAAGGTGGACTCATGTCCCTAGGGGTGAGTGGTCCCGCCTTCCTCAGAGTTGATCCATGAGCCAGGTGAGTGACCTGTCCATCTGGCTTAACTCTTATGTATTCTGAGTAGCTTGGAATGCCAAGCCTTCCATCCTGACCAGAGAAATAGCTTTCTCTGGCATGTCCCCACAGAGCCCTTGATTTAGGCTACTGTAACCCAAATATTTCAAACTCAGTCATTTAAAAAAATGATGATATAATTACTTGTTGAAATGTATCATATTTTGTAAATTTCCCTCTTAGCCTCAATTTTATATCAAACTTTAATATATGGGAGAGTATTTTTATACTCCAGTTGTCCCATTCAAAAATGAAACTTTAAAACTCTGAAGCCTTGTCCTCACATTTGCCCCTCTCCCAAGCCCATCTTCTGTTATATTCCTGTTCTCTGTATAAATAGAGAGCACTGAGCCCATCAACATATCTTGCCGAGCAGGTGTTTGCTCCTTTTACAAAGGCAAATTGTTTTTGAGCAAAGGGAGAAGGAAAATAAATGAAAATTGTTTGTAGTTTGTCAGTCTTATTTATGCAGTGTTGAAACCTTCATTAAAATGTTAGGCGCAATTAGTGTCTCTAGCATAAATCTGACTGTGTAGAAAAACTAATTAGATGTTTAGGTGATCATTCTTGCATTTATCTTGTTTGCTGCAATATTGTGATTACATGGTAATTTACATATTTCTCTAAGAAAACACACCAAATTATTCATTACAATTGATATGGAAATACTTGAGGTAAAAGTACAGATTCAAGAAAAGCTTGGGGTGGTGAGATAATTAGTATTACTTTGGTGTAAAACACTCCTCTTACTTTGACTTTTTGACAGTTAATAATGTTTGGCAAGTAGGTCATAAAAAATTGTCTAATTGAATAGTGAAAATTCCCAGAATCCTTTCTGGTCCTTTGCCACACACATCCATGTACATAACATAGCACATTGGCTTTTATAACCACTTTCAGCCTTAGGCTTTGCCCATGAAATTTTATAAAACACCAAGTGTATAATGTAAATAAAACAAGCATACGAATCAACCATCTGTGATAATAGTATTTCCAAAGAAATTTATTTTCAAATAATTAATTGATATGTACATATACTTTTACCATATTTTAAAGTGGAAAGCAAATTCAAATACTAATGAGATTGATGGTGACCAAATATATATTTGAAGACATAGAGTGTTGTCAGCATATTTCAGGGCTGATTGATATTTTTGTATTTATAATTGTCAATGCTGAAATTGCTACTTCACATGAATACATAGTATTTATAAGAACAGACAAAAGGCTGAGAAAATTGAGGAGGACAACATAGGCCTTATTCAGGAGAAAACCTACAAAAGGGGTCCCTAATATAAGACTCAGACCCAGGCTACAGGCTGGGTGTCTTCTGGACAAGAACAAGGAAAGGGCAAGGAGACTGAAAGGTCTCAGCCTGCAGTTAGCTTCTGCTGCAGGTAATTAGGGAGATAGGGTGTCTGCCGTGATGAAAAATACCAGGCCACCACCAGGCATCTCTCAATTGTTTCTGGGATCAATAGGTCACGGACATAAATAAATAAATAAATAAATAAATAAATAAATAAATAAATAAATAAATAAATAAGCAAACAAACAAACAAACAAAAAAACAAATGCACATATACATGTGTATGTATATGTATGTATGTATGTATTATTAACTTGGAACCAAGTTACTTAAGTTCTTGGAATTGTGGTGGTTTAACCAAAATGGAGGCACTTTACAAATGGTGCAGTCACTGCTAACAGCATGAAAGGACTATTTCATAAATTACCGGAAACTCTCTCCCAATCCTGAGCCACATTTCACTCAGTGATTTTTATTTTTCTTATTGTTAAGCTCAAGCCAGCAACTAAAACAATAATTTTTCAAGTTAAACATTCTGAGACCAGACATGGTGGTACACACCCCTCCAAAGACAGAAATTGGTGGGTCTCTGTGAGTTGCAATTCAGCCTGGTCTATATAGTGAGTTCCAGGATAGCCAGATCAACACAGAGTAACCATGTCTTGAAAAATAAAATAAAATAAAAAAGAAAAATAAAGAACAGAAAGCTTTATACATCCAGTAAAAATACTACCAGCCTCAGAGCCAAGCCAGGATGTTTCAGACGCCATTTGTCAGAACTGTGGTGTGATGGCGTGGCAAGCCCACGTGGTGAGTTCAGCGTTTGGGCTGCGTCTGTGAGCGCCATCAGAAACACATGGCATTCACAGTGCTTTGTATTCTGAATTAGTTTGTGATGCATATTCAGAATCTTTTTATTGTTACCAAAAATGTTGCATCTCCAAAGCCACTTTGTACAATCCAGGGTTGAAGACACTGTTTCAGAGTACTCATAGGTTTCCAAAATCCCAATAAGTGGTTAGCCCCAGGCAGAAGGGTTTCCTGCCCCAAATAGGAGTGTCCCATCAATGAGTTCATTTTGCTTGCTCACACTGACTCAGACCGCCCGTACTTCTGGGCAGGTGGTAAGATGAAGTAGATGTGGCCTGCTCTGGCCATGGACCTGTAAACACAAGTCTTTCTCTAACATATTTTATCAACCCTTTACCACCCAGTCATTTTGTGCAACAGTAGTAGTCCATGGTAAGAAACTAATGAATTTAGTTTTGAACTATTTTCCATTGTGTCAGCAATGTCATTTTTTGTAAGAGGTTTCTGGGTCTTGCTTTTAGAGTATGGCTTTGTAGTTGGTAAATCTTAGGTGGCCTGTGGTTACCTTCATTGTGATCATAACTGCAATAGACGACAGGGTCCAGCATATATCACTCCATCCACCTCATGGCTGTGCAGAATAGGCGAAAGCCCCACCACCGAGACAATGTGGGGAGAAAAAGTGCAGCATTGTCTTTAATTGCATTTCCCATACATATTGCCCTCTCACAATGCATAAATCATAATTAGAAAACCTACTTCAGTGTGGTACAAAAGATGGAAGGTTTCTGAAATAGTTGATTAAAAAAACTTTAACAGTCATATGCAGAATTTTTAAAGAAAATAAATAAGAACAAAATATATATCAAAATGTCTTCTAAAATTAAATATAAAATTGTATTTCAAACTTCAGAAACCACCACTCAGGTTAACAGTTCTTCTGTGGATTTAGCTTGCAATATCTGCTCAGCTTAGTCTGTGAATTATTTGAACCAACGAGAGGCAGAGAAACAGACGGACAGACCATCAGTCATCCTTCCATGGTTTCCTTGATTCGTAACCCACACAATGACCAGATGGTCTGTTTAAAAAAGCTTGTTACGTACTGTACTCTGTCTTCCTGTGGTAAAAAGGGAGGTATTAGTAACTCAAATTCTTTTAAATTTGGACAACTTCCCTCACTGGATGTCAAATTAATGAGGTTGTGCTATAAAGAACTTGCTGCAAGACAGGTGATAATTATTTCAGACTTACAGATTTCCTGGCCAGGGTTTCAACTCAAATGGAGAGGAAGTGTAAATGAGTTGCCTGTGGCCATGGGCACTGTTCTGTGGGTAACTGTTTAGCAAGACACAAGATGGTGGAGAAATTGTCTCCCCTGGCTTCTGCCTCATTTGATAAACTCTGTTTCAACGAGAAATGTTATCTAACCACCTAATAAAAGAACACCTAATGGAACACCTCTCTTGTTACCATCTTTCCCCAATATAGATGAGTGGGTATTTCCTGAAACTGCTAACCCGACCTCTGAGCCAGCATGTGTCAGTCAGTCTTCACTCATGGATGGGGACTCATGCGTGGCTTCACACCTGTGGCTGGAAACCAGCAAGGACAGTGAACCTGACCAAGCAGAGGAAACACAGATGTCTCCCAAGGACATTTTCACCTTTTCATCTAGACCAAGATCAGCGCCTCATGGGAAAAGTCATGATATGTTCACCAAGGTGTGCCCGTTTATTCTGGACCGAAAGGAGGACAACAGATTGACAAGGAGAGACACCAGGTTGGAAGACGATTTTTATGGCAGCGACAGCAGCGAAGAGGTACACAACTTGATGAGTAAAATAGGCTTAAAGCACGGTGTCCCGTTCGTGCCAATAAGCATTAAAATGTGTTGGAATGAAAGAGGGGGAATCAATCGCTATTTATAAAAATGCAGCAGATTGCTATGTCACTCAGCAGTTTCATCAGGTTGTCATGGTAACTAAACATTTCTGGTTTTTTTTTTTTAATTATTAACAGCCAGTTTTATGTTTAATTATGGAAGCCAGTTTTTCAGTTGTTTATATTTTTTATTTTAATCTTTGCCTCACAGAATTAGAAATAATTTATAGTTGAGTACATGATAGCAAGACCACTGCAAAGCTGACAGCCAAAGTCAAGGTGTCTGGGGAGGCGGTACTGTGTTGCTAAGCATCCGGAATTGACACTTTCCTGGCTTCTTCCTCCCATGCCATCTTTTCACCTTAGACCTATTAGGACTCATTATTTACCATATGGTCCCAGAATTTCAAGAGTGTGGCAATTAAAGTTTAGATAATGAATCCTGTATTAGGAGTGGGACTTTCCTTACAAAGAGGTGTTTTTCTGGGATTTAGAATATAAATATGTTGCTGGTAAACTGATAAAAAGTTTTCTTGGAAATTTTTGGAAACTTAAACTGAATTTGGTTTAGAGATGTTTATTTAGAAACTAAATACTGTGACTGTCTCTGTGTGAAATGCATCTGGGGCATGTGTCCGCCTGCAGGTGTGAATATTTGTAGTTTGTGGGTATTGGGTCCGTACAGTGCGAGTGCAGGCCTCGGGTGTCATTTCCACCTGTTTTCCTTTCTGAGGTATGGCCTGTCCCTGCCCTAGAGCTCACTAAGCAGGCCGGCAGGCCTGTCTATGCCTTCCCATGAGCCACCCCACCCCACTTTTTATGTGAGTTCTTGGGCTCAAATTTAGGTCTTCCGGCTTGTCAGGCAAGCACTTTACCCATATCCTCCTGTACATAGCTATCTCTATTCTTAACAGTGGCAATTCATATGTGAGAAAGAAACATTTCCAAAGCACCATAGTCAAAGTTTAAGAAAACATGTGCAAAGAACATGATATAGAAATAATTAGAAAAACTCTTATGCATGCTTCCAGTCTTTCTGAAATGACTAACTGAGCGAGCATGGCCTGTGGACAGTGCACTGTAGATTAGGTCCACACCTCCTATGTGCAGAGCCAGCAGAGAATATGGGGCTTTGCTTACAGCTTTAGTAGTAATTACAGGTTTTATATCTCTTAATGAATTTTGTCAACTAAATATATGTAGAATCCTCCTTAAATAATATCCTGGCTTCTTCATGTGCTGAAGTAATACATAAGCTAACTACAGTGCATTTCAGGCCACCATGTTAAGTGCTGGTATTAGGCGTACCTATGTCTTTCGCCCCGGAAATCATTAACCTATAAAAATTTTCAAATAAACTTTTGTCTTCAGCATCTAATAGGGTCTCCATCTCGCATTGTCACTTCTAAGGTATTATTTGGCCAAACTGGTCAGTTGACTCATACCATTTCATACATACAAAGGATAGACTTGTGTCTTTCCAAGGAGCACACAGCACCATCTTACGGCCACGCTGGGCTCCAATTATTGCCGGACTGTCTCAACCCACCAGCCGCCCAAGTAGTGACACGGAGACTTTTTATTAATATATGAAACTTGACTTTAGCTTAGGCTTGTTCCAAACTAGCTAGTATTACCTAATTTAACCCGTTTATACTAACATACGTTCTGCCACGTGGCTCATTACCTCTACTCAGTACCAGCACCTGTTTCTTCCTTCATATCCAGCTGGCAAACCTTAGATGCCTGAGTCTTTCCAAGAGTTTCTATCTCTACCCAGAAGTCCCAGATACTCTCTCCTGCTTTAGTGTAGGCCATTTAGCTCTTTATTAAACCAATCAGAAGGTGATAAAAAAGATGTTTACAAAACATTGAGACAGGTGATACTTCATGAAAATAACAATACCAAAGTCCAGCCTGTACTCAGCTCTCTACTGGTACAGAAATCAACAGTTGAACAATACAAACACAACTAATGCACAAGAGATTATCCTAAAACCATCCTTCTTTCTTACTTACCAAAAGACGTACTTTAATGGTGGAAATGCCCTGACAGATGAGAAATAGCAGTTCTCTGGGAAATAATAAAAGCAGTTTTATGAGGAACTGCCCTGGAAAGAGCATGTCATGAGAAACTTAGCCCCTCTGTCTGTAGGACAGATACATAAGCCTCAAGCAATCAAGTACTTTGAGGAAGTGAAGGCTTTCAGCTCTGTGGGTTTAAATTTGATATCACTTTATGTGCATTCTTCTTCTATTATCTCTTCTACTTCTGATGCCCTTCAATATTTATTGCACAAAAACATATTTATTAGTAACTACATGAAATGGAAATTAAATTCATAATGCATTCTTCTGAAGCTCTGACTGCATAGCAGTCTGTTCCCTCCCCTGTGCCATGCCTTCTTTGTGGCCAGTAGCATATGGCTGGAGTCTGTGCTGGGACCATCTTACTGCTAACACATGCCTGGCTCACTGTCAGTCAGAGTTTCCTAAGAGTACCATCAGGGAAGAGACAGGCCTTGACATGTCATGTGGTCAGAGACATTAATAAGATAGACATTAAGATATTAAAATTTTTACATAAGTGTAACTACAAAATTGATTTCCTTCTTTGTTTGCTGTTTGCTTGGGGGTATGTCATATTTTCTTGCAGGAAAGTTTCTCTTATTTATTGATTGTATCAGCCATAGAAATTGAATTATCTTTTGCATTGTTTATTTTATATACATCTCCGAGTTTGAAGAAAGATGAGTTTAGATAACATCCTTATAGTTACATTGTTTTAGAATAATATAATTATAATTAAGGAAAATACTAATATTTTAGTATACAAATAGGTGATAATTATGTTATTTACTATACTTGAAACATACTCAATAATTAAAAGATTTATATAATGTTTGACAAGTGAGTGATATTTAAGGAGAAATTAGTTCAAATTCAGTAACATATAAACCAAGTGGAATCATATCGTGTTCTTATGACAAAAGAACACATTCTATAGTAAAAACTAATTAAAATAAGATTCTGGTGATATATTGTCTTTATAATTTTAGGTGGTACTACCTTAATGAATTAATCCACATCTGAGATCACAGTATGAGAGCCTCAAAAGTGCGAATTTTTAAAATATCCTCTTGTACTCACTGCTTGGTGTGTATTTTATTCCCTAGGCTGCCATATATACTGATAGGCCGGTGCTCAATTAATTTTGAAGTTGTACCTTTTATTTGAAAAGCACATTATAGAAGTATATTTCATGACGAGCTATAAAATTGAAACTACCATGTAAATTCAGGGAGGCTGTTAAAACACAGGGCTTGCGTACTGTCTCAGCATCTGAAAGAAGCCATTTGGCGTTTCATCATTATTCACAGCATGACTAGTAGATGTACCTGGTTTGCAATTTGTACTAGCTTTAATGTTTCAGTATTCCCCTAACTTAGTTTTATATAGAGCTATAGTACTGTCATTTTCCACCACCCAACTACAGCTGTGTAGCACATATTGACGAAGATGGTTTCAAAGCCACCCACTCACCCTGTACAATTCAGATTGGAACATTTGCCCCCTGAAAGATGCATTTGGGACACAACGGAATATAGACTGACCTCCTGTCACATTTAGATTAGGGGGGAAATCTTCAACACCATCTTTCCATCCACTGTATGGAAACCTGAAAGGAACAAATGTGTAAACGACGTTGTTGTTAAATACATGTGTTAGTTCTTTCCTCATCCTGTTACTTTCAAGCTATTTTTTTTCAGATATAAGTAGATTTTTTATTTATTTTTTT